GTGGTCCAGCATGGGAGCTGTGGCAGGACCCCGGCAGCCTCTTGGTTTGTGCCACCGTGTGGCTTGTCGGACTCATGGCACTGGCTTGAATTAAAAATAGCTTGACAAGAAGCAGTTATTTTTAATCCAGATCACATTTGGTATGAGCCATGCAGGCGTGTGTGCGGGGCCAGCCCGGGATGGAGATGGGGATGGAGATGGGGATGGAGATGGGGATGGAGAGCAGTGGGGTACAAGACAATGGGACTGTTTCAACTGCTGTTGCCACTAAAAGAAATGGTCTTTTATGGCCCAAGGTGGAATCCTAATGGAAGATGGGTGTCCACTGTAAAGGTGAAGTTCTTCCCGAGCTGATCGGGGTCTGCTCTGCTGGCAAAGGGCCTCCAGCTGCATAAGTGCTGGTGGTGACACAGGGGGACGGTAAGGGACGACCTGGCTGGGGACACAGGCAGGAGAGGAGAGAATGGGGCCATCCCCTCCGGCAACAGTAGGGATTTAGATTGTATCAGGAGTGGAATAGCTGTGCTATCAAAAGCCTTCAGAACGTGAACTCTAATTAGGGTAAAGATGGAAAGAGAAATCACAGGTCATAGACCTGTAGTTAACTAAAAAATGCTGGTATGTGTGAAGGCCATAGTCATAAGGGCTGGAAGTGGCCACGAGTCATCTGTGAGTCATTTCACTGATCCACAGAGAACAAGAAATCCAGACTACGAATGCATCTGGTTAGTTATGACGAGAGTTAAAACCATTGCAACCAGGAAGATCAAGCCAAGCCAATTCAGTAGCTGTCTTTGCCATAGTTACTGATGCAACAGCGAAAGGTTATACAATTAGGTATAGCACACTTGGATTCCAGAAAGCCAATTGGTATAGTGCCATGCATAAACATAAAGAAAAGATATTGCTTCCCATTTAGGTAAAAATATCATGGTTTAGAAATCAGTTTTCCATTAGGGAATGGTTGTTAACAGTAAGACCAGCTGAAGGACAGCGTTCGGCCAGGTTTTAGAGAAGGTCTGACCTACCCCTGCGTTATTTTGTACAAAGACACGAGGTTGTTTGGTACAGCCACTGACAGCCTTGACGAAGGCGGAGGTTGAGCGGGGTCGGGTGTGCTGGGGCACTGGCCCGGAGGCTGCAGAGACCCCAGCCGAGGGACGGGGAGCTCCGGGGGACCAGAAGGTCCGAGTCAGCAGATGTCTCATAGACGGGAGGAAGGGAATAAACCTGCACGACAAGGGGAGAGCCTCAGGTTGTGAGTGAGAACATCTTGTGATAGTTTCCAGTAAACGGGTCCAATTTGATCCAGTTGCTAAGAAAGCCATTCAAACTGATTTATGTATAAAACATAGAAGTTAGTATCAAACTGACACTGTCAGCGTAAAAAGCCCTGGGCCCAGGGCATTCCCTCCTTACCACGGGAAGGATGAGGCCAGAGGGACAGCAGACAACAGAAGTAGCAGTTTCCTTCCCGTTTCCCTCCAGAAGAGATGATGGAAGGGGCTAGAGGGGCTGCTGGGGTGACCCGCCGGGGTGTGCCTTGGTGGAGGTCCTGTCCGTGGCACGGTAATGGACCTGCATGCAAGCAGGTTTCAAAACGGCTTTAAATCTTTTACTGAGCAGGGAGTAGGTGCAACTATCCCCTGCTTACACACGGGGGTTTGAACCTGGTTGCATACAGTGTATTTGTAAATAGTTTTACCTGTCGGACCGGGGCAGGGGGTATCCGAAGTGAGTTCCAGTAATTGTTGAAATACGTGAAATGGTTGCGTACAGCAAAATGATGCGGAGCGAAGGAGTTCCCATTTCAGAATGAGATCAGATTTAATTCACTTTGAAATGAGATCACTGGAACCTGCTGCCTGGGTCTTGTTTTCCCTGTTTCAGGCTTTCATCCGTGCTGAACTCTTGCCATGACTGAATTCTGCAAAGGTTTCCAGGCAGGTTCCTTGTCTGAGCGCCAGCCCGGTTGGGTAAGCTGATTAGCTATGAGAAGATCAGAGTTTGACAAGGGCTGTATTGCAGGTAAACAGTGAAGCTTTTCCTACAGCTGAGAGTTAGTGTAGCTATGAAGTGTGTTTGCATCCTCAGAGGTAAGGAATGGTGCTTGAAAAGCCCCAGGAAAAATACCAAGTGCATTAAAATGATAAGTAGAACTGATAAGTTACATGGTGAGAGACTGAGAGGAGAATCAAGTGCAGATACGATCGCTGCCTATAAATACTGTCAACATGACAGCACAGATGAGCAAAAGGAAGAGTATTTGTTATCTGATGGAAAACAAGCTTTAGGAAGAGCAGTCATCGCAGCGGCGCAGCGGTGGAGAGGATCCCCAGGAGTGGGGGCTCATCAGCCAGGGTAGGGGGAGGTAACATCTGGTGGCATAAACTTGAACATAGGAAGTTCCATCTTAACATGAGAAGGAACTTCTTTACCTTGAGGGTAGTGGAGCGCTGGCACAGGCTGCCCAGAGAGGTGGTGGAGTCTCCCACTCTGGAGACATTCCAAACCCACCTGGATGCTGTCCTGTGCAACGTGCTGTAGATGACCCTGCTCTGGCAGGGGGGTTGGACTAGATGATCTCCAGAGGTCCCTTCCCACCCTGACCATTCTGTGATTCTGTGGGACAATAGCGAATACATCTGCAACATGTGGGGGGGTGAGGTCGGCTGGAGACCCCCGCTGCCCTCGCCTCCCTTGGTGGTCCTGCGGGGAGCAGGAGGTACCAGTGCACCAGAGGGGTCCTTCGGGGGTCAGCAGGATTCCCAGTAAGGAGAGACGTTTGCTGTCACACTGAAGGTGTGAAAGGATGGCATTTGGTGCATGAGTCACTGTTCCTGCCTGTGCTGCCGTGCTTGCAGGGAGGGTGCTGGCAGAGCGTGGTGGTGGGAGGGCAGGTGGTGGCTGCATCGCTCCGGGGATGCCCTGGGGCATGGGGGACCCCTGCGCCGAGCATCACTCGAGCATCACACGGGGCTGCTCCCTCCGGGCGTGGGAAGGCAGATGGCTGCAGCAGCCTCCGCCGGCGCTGCCGGCCCACAGCTGCTCCTGGAGCATGCCCGAGCCCTCCTGGTTTCCAGCCCGGGCTGCAGGAATAAACCCCGGGAGAGGGAAATGTGAGACTGGCCTGGGAGTCCACAGGGCAACCGAGGTGGGGGGGCCCCGGGGAGGTGCTGGGGAAGGCAGTCCTGCGTCCTCCCCAAGCGCTGCAATATAAGCAGGGAAAGCCTTGTCTTTGTGCCGGGGATGCAGTGCTCAGCCACCCAGAAACAGCGCTGGAAAGCTTTGCTGGGGATCCCCAGCTGCTGCCACTTAACCTCTCGGCTCTCCTGCCCGGCCCCTCATCCCCCAAAGTTCGCCCGGGTGTTGCGGTGCTCGTCGGTGCCGTCAGCGCTGTGCTCGCCATCCCATAGGCACGGGGATCACCCCTGGCGCCCACGGTCCCCATCCGGGGACTGACTTAAATTTTGATTCTACAGTGTGTCATTTGGGGTGAGCAGAGCGGGGTGCTGGACTGGTCGCAACACATGCTCCACATGCTCGTGCTGGTGTTTGTGGCAGCTTTGGCTGCCCACAGCCCTCCTCTTCTGTTACCCGGGACAGGGTTTGTGCGAGGAACTGGCGGTCTGGGCCCCAGGCCGTGCAGGGTACGGCGCTGGAGCGTTCCTGAGGATGCCCAGCACAGCCTGCTTTCAATAAACCTCTGAAGCTGCCCATTGCGCGGGGCGTGGAGATGGGCGCTTCTAAAGCAGGGTGTTTCGGTGCCTAAACACCGGTTCATTGATGGCAGCTTTGCTGTGGAATTATTTAACAGCCTTTGGTTCTGGCCTCCTGTTGTGCCTCCCGCAGCCTCTTTGAAATGGGAGGCGGAAGGGTAGTGCCTGCCGGCGCTGGGGGCAGTGCGATGCGCAGTGCCGGTGCTTCGCTCCCATCCCGGCAGCATTCCAGGATGGACCAGAGGTTTATGGTCCCGAAGGGTTAATTGGGGATAACTCGGCTGTTTTGGGAATGCGAGCTGGAGACCAAGAGGTGCTCAGCGGGGTTTCATTCAGCCACTTCACCTCGCTGCACGCTGCTGGGCTGATAGGGAGCCTCTCCAGACTTGGTGTTCACGAAGCTCTCGAGGCGTTCCCGGCTTCTCCGGGAGCGTAAGCACGACAGTTATGCTGCGGGTTTCGAGGCACAGCTCTTAGGAGAACTGCCCTGGGAGTGAGTAGCCAGCCTGTGCCGCCCTGCCCCGGAGAACGGCCCATGGGAAGGGATCTCAGCTGACGGTGAAGGAGCCAGCAAACGATAGGCATCGTCTAATTGCTGCCTCTCCCCTGCCTCCTGACTGCTGCTGCAGGTCGTCATTCGCAGTCTCGGGATCGTTATCTTTGCGTGCGCGAGTAGCACAGCGTCACGGTGGGCAGCAGCGATCCTACCTCTGGGATCTGTGTTATCCAGATAAGGATGCACGCGGTGACATTTAAAAACCTGAATGGTGTCCCGCTGTTGAAATAAAATGAAATGGCATTTCAAGATCTTTGTTTGGAGAGAAGTGGTGCTCTGCCGTCCCCAGCCCGCAGCTGGAGCGTGTGTTTCCCATATGGGTGTGCTCGGGCCGGGGCAGGCGAAGGGAAGGGGGGGTGCGGGAGGGGATGTGGTGCCTCACGGGGACCCATCTGGGGTGGACAGTGGCTGCCGTGCTGTGGCGGCATGGAGAAGCCCCGTCCTCTCCTCTGGATGGAGGTGGTTTGTCCTGAGCTCCCGTCACTCACCTTCTCCTTCGTCCCAGCGTGGCCCTGCCCTTCAGTGCTTTGGGATTCACTGGTGCTTTTGGGGCCAAAGACGACATTTGGAGGGAATGTTTCTGAATGACCCTGTCAACGGGAATTCACATAAAACAATTACAGCAACCGCAGCCACGTTGCCTTGGTTTGCTCATGTCTGACTCCGCCGGAGCCTGAGCCCTCTGTGGTCCCTCACGTTTGCTTTCTCTTTCTCCGCAGAATGCGATGAACTTGCCGCCCGACAAAGCCCGGCTACTGCGACAGTATGACAACGAGAAGAAGTGGGAGCTCATCTGTGACCAGGTAAGGGCGGCCGGCAGGGCTTTTGGCAGCCATCTCATGGAGAACATGACCTGGGTTTCATCAGCAGCGTCCCCAGGCACCTTGCAGAGGACGTGTACTTGAACAGATTCAAACACTCATTTCTTTGGCCTTATACTCCATTATTGCTAACAGCTCATAGAAGCCTTGTAATGATAATTCCCTTTTTTACCACAGAGCGGTATTTCTTTCCCCTCTGATGTTACCATCACCCCTGTGCCTGTTTCCACTGGGTGGTGACTGCTCCTGATTTTGCGTGCCACGGACTCGAGGAGACTGACCCTCAGTCTCTTCTCGGGGAGTGCGTTGAGTTTGGTCTGTCTTGACCTGTGCAATAGGAATGAGTGGTCTCCATCCAGTGAGTATTTGGCTTTGCGCATCACGAGCCCCTGTCGCAGTTGGCGGTAGCTGTCCCCTTCGGGGAGAGGCGAATGGTGACACAGCCTGAACTCCTCTTTGCCTCCAGAGGCTGAACAACAACCTCGGATTAAGCAGCACCATATGCTGAGGCATCTTTGTGCACAAGCTCTGCTGTGGCGTGCGGGCTTGGCAGCAATATAGAACAATTAACAGGTTGTCTCCGCTGTGACAAATGAACAGAAACTGCATTATTTAGAGAAAGTGAAGCATCCAAGAGGTAGGATGTGCATTTGTGAGCCAACAGCAAAATCGGGTTCTGCCATAAACTTCAAAAGCAATTGCTAATGAAAATTATTGATCCAGGACTGAGGAAGTAGGATGTTTCCTTGAGATGTAAACACAGCAGTACCAGGATGAGATTTTGGCAAAAGGTACAGTAATGCTGTGAGGTCAGGAACATTTTAATAAATAGATTTGTGAGACATTTCCTATTTAGCTATGACAGTGCAGGAGCCTCTGATAAAATCCAACTACCTTATAGTAAAGCTGAATGAAGGATTCCTCATTTCCATGAGTTTTCTGTGCAGAAAACCTAAAGCGTTGGGCTATTTAAAGTGTCAGTTTAGTGAAACACCGAACAAATTGCTTAATCTGCTGTAAGTGATTTGTTTCATGGATGTTTGCTCAGAGCGCGCCCGCTTGGGGCATGCCCGTGGAAGGGTGGGCTTCGTGCTGGAGTCCGTGCGCTCTGTTCGCGCCGCCTTGGCAGCGGGGCGGGCAGAAGCAGTTCGACCAGAGCTTCGGTGCGCGAACTCCCACCTCAGAGCGGATCCACCCTTGGCAACGCGCAGCTGCTGCTGATTCACTCCCGAACTCCACAGCCAGATCGGAGGGATGAGCAGATGGAAACGCAGCAAAGGAAATTTGCAATCTGCAGTAATCGCGTATCTTAATAGCTCCTTACACAACGCCGAGTCCACCCCCGGGTTGGGATGAGTCTGCTTCCCGTCGCTTGGAGAGAGGCAGCGCGGGGCTGTTGTAACCGGCGCTGCGGAGCCCAGCACTGCGAGGATCCCCGAGGGACGGGAGGTGACGGTGTGCCACCCTGCCAGGGTCCTGCCGTCCGAGGGGACCTGCGTGGGCAAGAAGGGGCTGCGAATCGGGGATCTGTCACAGCTCCCCGGCTGCGCTGGCACGTGCTTGAATTAGAGCAGCGTGAAGCAGGTGTCTCTAAAAGCACCATAATACAGCATATGGGGTGTGAAATATTTATAGCTGTCCACATAATTATGGCGCGTGGCTAAAAGCACTTCCAGGAATAGATTGTGTACAGAATGGATGTTTTTAGTGTGGATGCAGATTTTGACTGCTGTTTTCTATTGGTATCGCTCGTTACACCATTTTTTTTTTTCACCTGTTTTTGCTTAGTGAAAGATTGAGGATATAAATTAGTGCAACAGCTTGAAGAAATAAACTCCTACCCTCCTGTGCTGTATTTCAACTTTCCTCTGAAAGGCAAAAGGGTCCAGAGGTTGGTCTTAAATGAGATCTACTAAATAGTCCATAAAGCAGACCCTGGCCATTGAGGGAGAGAATTCAGGTCCCAAAAGGGAGCTCTCATTTTTTTACAAGTGAGATTAACAAAAATGAGGAGAAACCAGTCTCATGATGATGATGATAATAATAATAATAACAACAACAATAATAATCTGCTGTGAGTAGGATTGTGCACGTTGCAGTGAATCGCTGTAAGGGTTGCTGGGCTGGTTGTGGGGGACTCATCCCGTGTGGTATTTTCTGTTCCTTTGTCTATAAACCTTGCAAGTCATCTAAGCATCGCTGCTGGTGTCCTGAAAACTTGCCCCCTACCTCTCTGGCTTAGTGTACAAGGAGGAGAAGAGCAGCAAAGCCAGTAAACCTGTTGCCCACCCTGGAGAGGGCCGAGCGGTGGTCATCTGGGGGGGAGCGTTGGGAAGGACCCAGCAGGGCAGAGGATACCGTGTCCAGGCACAGCGAGCCACCCTGTTGGCGTACTCTAGGCCTCTTCATCCAGCCGTCTGCCGTGAGGCGTTTCGGAGGGGGCACAGATGTTGAGGGAAGAGGCTGGGGACATCTTACAAAGTTCTTCATTGCCCTCTAATGGCAAATTGTGGCAGGGGCATCACCGTGTCCTCACCTTTGGAGACACTGGAGGTGTGTGTGTGGAATAACGAATTAGGAGACTTAAAATGAAAGTCATGCGGTTTACATCCAAAATATCTGCACTGAGGTTTCTGTAGAACTCTCTCTGTTTCCTAATCAAACTCGAACGAAGGCAGGTGCCTGCTGTTTCGGAGGCTGGTGGCCAGCGTGGAGCTCGCGGAACGGCAGTGGGTTTCCCCAGCAGCCTCCTGGCTAGGGGTCCCGTGCCACCCTTCAGCTTTGCTTGGGCCCCTCTGTGCCTGTGTTGGGCGCGATTTCACCTAAAACAAGGCCAAGTGTGGTGCGTTGGTGGGGTGCCATGTTCTGCTTCAGGGTTTATTTGTGACTGAGAAGAGGGCAGGTACGGGCCATGATGGAACCATGGCCCCAGGTGAGAAGGTGGTGCTGCCTCAGCCCTGAGTCCTCCAGCTCTCTGGGTGAACCCCCAGCTCTGCCAAGACCAGGGTGGCCTTCCCTTGGGAGGAGAGGGTGACCTGGGCTCTCTGCCTGGCGGAGCAGCATGGTGGAGGGGGAGCCCGAGCACAGACGTGTGGGGTGGTGAGGTCAGGCTGTCAAAACCAGACAGCATTCGAGATAGCCTGGAGAAGGAGAACATCTGAAACCACGGAGGGACCCTCAGACTTGTGTTCATTTACACTTAGGTTCAGCAAGCACTGGCTGTAGTGGTTAAATCCTCTAGATGAGGCAAAAATACTAATCACTCAGCTCTCTGTTATATCGTAAAAGAGGTCGATGCCCACTGGCGCGTGGCGCACACCCTGTAGGCCCAGTTTGTTTCTCTGCCCTCTTCTCCTCTGCCACTGTTCATCGAGCTCTGCAAAGGGAAGATGTCCTGCAGCCTCTCCGTCCTTCCCCTCCACAGACCAGCTGTGGGGAAAGGCGAGTTCCCGATATTATTTTTATTTTTGTTTTTTTTTTTGTGAGATTGTGGACTGGTTGAGAGTGTAACCGCACAGAACTGTGGTGGTCCAGGCTTGCCGTTCAGTTTTGGGCCCCTCACTACAAAAAAGACATTGAGGTGCTGGAGTGTGTCCAGAGAAGGGCTACAAAGCTGGTGAGGGGTCTGGAGCACACGTCCTGTGAGGAGCGGCTGAGGGCCCTGGGGGTGTTCAGCCTGGAGAAGAGGAGGCTGAGGGGAGACCTCCTCGCTCTCTACAGCTCTCTGAAAGGAGGGGGTAGCGAGGGGAACCCGTCTCTTCTCCAAAGGAAGAGGTGATAGGACAAGAGGAAATGGCCTCAAGTTGCGCCAGGGGAGGTTTAGGATGGATATTAGGAAAAATTTCTTCTCCAAAAGGGTTGTCAAACATTGGAACAGGCTGCCCAGGGCAGTGGTGGAGTCGCCATCCCTGGAGGGATTTAAAAGATGTGTAGATGTGGTGCTGAGGGATGTGGTTTAGTGGTGGGTTTGTCAGTGTTGGGTTGATGGTTGGACTTGATGGTCTTCAAGGTCCCTTCCAACCTAGACAATTCTTTGATTTTGTGATTCAAATCCAGAGCGCTGGGCAGTGCCGACAGAATACCTGCGTGTCCTTTGGAGTTGGGCTAGGGGTTCCTTTAAAGGCAGGGGTGCAGGCAGCCCCCGCGGGCTGCCCCTGCCTCTTGGCTGGCTGGGGAAGAAGGGGACAGGCGGTGAGCGCTGGACGGGACTGAGCGAGGCTCAGGGTTTCGTGGGGATGCTGGGCTGTTTGTTGTTTGACACAAACATCTCTGGTGAGCCCCGATCCTCTCCTCAGAAATGTGATGGAGCAATGGTGATCGAAAAGCGGCACCTCCCGCCGTGTGTTACGGTATGGAGCCATTGACCCTTTTGCAGCAGAGATCTGGATTTTTTTTGCCAACATACAACCAGTGTCTTTGCACATGCTGCAGGAGCCATTCACAGCTCTCTTCTGAGAGTCTTTGCATAAAAAAAAAAGTTATGTATATCAGTGGATCTCCCCATTTGTGGGTAAAATACAGGCTATAAAATCCAGTGTTTTATTGAACTCAAGAGCATTTGGGTGCTAGAGACACTCATGGCTTTGTTTACCCGCCTGGCGGGCCCTGAGGGAGGTGGCCACTGAGGGTCAGATGGTGAGGGATGGAGGCACAGGGCACGAGGGGTCCAAGGCTCAGTGGTGTGGGACCGGGCCGGGGTCAGCATCTCCAGCCTGGGAGGGACCTTCTGCGGCTCTCACACCGATCAGCCCGTGTCCCTGTGCAGAAAATTAATAGTGGTGGTAACGGATCCCTCTGCCCCCTAATTAGTGCAGAGAGGAACGGTGCCATGGTTTCATCCAAGGCCAGGCTGGACGGGGCTCTGAGCAACCTGGGCTGGTGGGAGGTGTCCCTGCCCAGGGCAGGGGGATGGGACTGGGTGGTCTTCAAGGTCCCTTCCAACCCAAACCATTCTGCGACTCCACAGGAAGACATACAGAGCA